CTTCCTTCCTTCCTTCCTTTCTTTCTTCTTTCTTTCTTCTTTCTTTCTTTTTTTTGAAAAATTCCTTCAAGAATGGAGAAATCCATTTTCACTGTGAAACAGAGATCTCGTTCTGCAGGTTTTTTAAAAGCCTCTTTAGCACATTGCTCATCTGGTTGTGAGTCTAGACGTCTTATCGTTGAATAAGCTTTTGCCCGCGGGCAGGTTTTGTTTTCTCTTCGTCTTCGTTTCTCTTTTCCGCAAGTTTCACTGTGATGCATCGAGATCTCAACTTACCTTTCATCTTCGGGTCATTGTCCTTCTTCAGCTGCAGAGACTCCTCAGTCACCACGTCTTCGCGTTTGGCTTCTGCTGTTTCTCTCCCTCGTGCGCCCCCTGCGAGATGCCCTCACTCCGCTCTGTTCCGCTTCCCCGTCTTTCCTGGGTCCCGTCTGTTTTGTGCTCAATTCCTGGTGACTTCTTACGGTTCGCCGGTTCACTCTTCCGCTGCTGACTCCCTTACCAAAAATTACGTTTTTAATTTCGAATATTATATTTATTTCTTAAAATGCTCTCTTTTTTTTTTGTTATTAGGTTTGAGATATCGCTTCTTATAGTTTTCTACTCCATGAAGTTATTTTCAAGCTTGTAACTATTTCTTAAAAAGGAAAAAAAAAAAAAAACAGAACAAGATGGTGTGCGCGTGGGCGGGCTGGGGGTGCGTGGGAATTCTCTGCTCTCTGCTCAGTTGAGCTGTGAACCCAAAATTGGTCTGAAAAATAAAGTCTACTTAAAGTGTAGAAAGACTCGTTCTTTTGTAATCCGTATTTGTTAACGCCCGGTCTGAAGGTGGTGAGCGTTTTTTCTATGTTGTTTCTTTAAGCTCAGTCCTTTCTCTTTCACCATGCTTCCTCGTTTCCCTGGCTGTTGTTAGCAGCATGTTAGTCATTGTCCTTGATTTGTGAAGCTCCTCTGGGACCTTGGATGAAGATGCCCTTCTCCAGAGACGGTCACGTTTGCTCTGCCTGCGGCACCTACCTGGGCACCACTTCAGACCCAACCCCCAGCTCTCCCCCTGTCCCACTCACCCGCAGCGGCGCAGGCCAACGCTGCAGACTCCCCTCCCCCAGAGGTTAGTTGGCAGATGGGGGGCAGGCGAGTTGTCTGCAGGTGGGGCCGCAGCGGTCTGGACCAGAGCCGCCACTGGGCAGCTGGACCAGTCCCTGAAGGGCTGACGCCAAAGCTAGGTCATGAGCAGGGGAGAGGCAGGTTGGTCGGTAGTGTGGACTAAGGCAGGATCACCGCCTGGCTCCTGTCCAGGGTGTGGTCAGCGAGCCGAAGTCAGGAACAGGACAGGGAAAG